TCCCTCTCTTCCTCCCTTTCCCTCTCTCTAAAAAGAAACAAACAAAACCTTAAAAAAATAAAATATTAAAGAGACAAGTTTTTCAAAGAAGCTTTATTATTATTATATTTTATTTATTTGTAATTTCACTGGGACCAAACTTATGCATATATTTTTATTCTAAAGTTTAGTGATTGTGTTCCTGAAAAGGTAGCAGCTGAGCAACCATAAAGCCTTTGCCTTTTTTTTTAATTTGTTATTGAATTTATTGGGGTGACATTGGTTAATAAAACCATGCAAGTTTCAAGTGTACAATTCTGGAACACATCATCTGGACATTGCATCACTCACTCGCCATGCAAAGTGAAGCCTCTTCCCACCACCATTTATTCCTTCTTTGCTGTCTTCTACTTCCCTCACCCCAGACCTTTGCCTTTTTAAAAATATATTTTATTTGTTATGATATTACAGTTCTCCTAATTTTTCCCCTTTGCCCCCCCTCCACCAAGTGCTCCCATTCCCTCTGGCAATACCCCCCTTAATTCATGTCCATGGGTCATGCATATGAGCTGTTTAGCTACTCCATTTCCTATACTGTTCTAAACATCCTTCTGTCTATTCTGTACCTACCAATTATGCTTTGTAATCCCTGAACCTTTTACCCTATTTTTCCTCTTTTCTCTCCCAGCTGATAACCTTCCAAATGACCTCCATATCTATGATTCTGTTTCTGTTCTACTTGTTTGCTTAGCTTGTTCTTTTAAATTTAATTGTTGGTGTTTGTGACAAATACTTACCATGGTTCATCCATTACTGAACAAGATTTTTTTCCTTCTTATTGGCACTGATGCTGGAGGGGTGGTGAGTCCCTAGTGGGGACTCAAGCCCCAAGCCTAGAGAGTTTTTCATTTCTCACAGGAAAGAATTCAAGACTCAAACCAGATACGAGGTTAAAGTGGGAGAGCTGGCTTTATTCAGCAGACAAGACAAGCAAGAAAAGCCACTCCATGGACAGAGTAGCAGACTCTTCTCACAAGAGAAGGAAGAGACATCATCCATCTCTAGAGGTTGAGCTTTTATCTGTTTGTAGTTTCTATGGAAACTTGCTGATGTGGAGAAAAAGAGTGTGGGAAAAAGTTGGAATTAACTTTAACCTTTACAAGGTATATTTGATGGCCTTGTGTTTTTCTATACTATGGGTAAACAATAAGGTATGGATGAGTAGCTATGAATCAAACTTTGCAGGAATTTTCTTTGTCCCGAGGCCCTTCATGATGTGCCTTTATCTCCAGTCAGCCAAGTTCTGTGTCAGGCAGCACGAAGCAGGCCCCTGACTTAACTCTGTGTGACTTGAGATAATTTGTATAGTTTTCATGCCCCTCTCCTATATTTGTGCTAGATCATAATGCACTTTATTATTGCCTTCTTAGAATTGGTAAAATATACTATAAAAATTCTTTTATAGAACAAAATATAACATTTGGTTTCTGTGGCAAATGAAGTAAGTTGAACATGAGAGTTAAAATTATTAGAAATAAGATAAAGTAGTTAAGGGAAGTCCTTTTCCTTTTCCTGAAACCCCCTCACCCCCAAAAAATTTTGTGTTGCACTGAAATCAGTTACAGAATGATTGTATGTGTATAGTGTCATTATATAACTTTTCACTAATTTATTATAAGAGAAAATTCTAATGCAGTTTTCTTTATGAATGGCTATAGGATGGACAGTCAAATTGTTTGCTCTCTACTAATGATTGTAAAACATTCAAAGTAACATTTACGGTAAAATTACCATGATCTTGTGTAAGATCATATAATTTATACTGGAAAGGATAAGCCATTTGCCAAGGTGGCTAGAATTCTGCTCATGACCTGGATTTATCTCAAGACTTCTAGTAAGTAACTTTACAGCCTCGATGGAGATTTATTCCCTTCCCCTACATTTGCTCTTTAAATCCTTTTAGTTTCATGAGGCAAGAGTCAGGCATTTTAATAGAGCATGACCAAATGTCTGGAGGAGCACAGAGAGTTCAGGTGTGGCACTGATAATTTATTTTCCATATAGATGAAAAATGTGCTCGAAAACAGATTAAAATATGACATCATGATTCATCTGGCTGATTTCTCTACTTTTCAAAGTTTGATCACCATTTGACATGAACACAATTATTTATGTCTGGAAAGTTGGAGGGCATGTGCATTCAATGAAGGTAATTTATTTGTTCATAACTGAGCCAACCTCTCAGAGAAATTAGGGTATCTAATTCTGCTTTCTTTCCCATTCAATTCATCATATTCTATTGTATATACCCTTAATGCCTCATTTTTAATCCTTTAAACATTCAATTTTCAGTTAATGCACACTCTAAATCTACTCTTAGCTGATTAGACTAGAACAGGTATACCATACCAAATAGTCGCCTTGAAGCAGTGAGTTGAGGATACCTGCCCATTTTGCTAGGTGCCCCTCATATCTTCTGTTTTCTTACAGCACTAGTAAATATACTGGCCTGAACACTGACCACTTCCCCCCAACAGATTTTTATTTCATGTACATCCTTTTGCATACCTTTATGCAGCACCCCATGTGGCCCGGATCTGGAAATTATTTAGTCTTCTCTAATGTAAGAAGTTTTGTGGTATGCAATGAGTTATTTGGGTACAATCTATCTGTTGATAATCCCCAACACTGTCATTGCTGATGTTAAAAGTGAAACAACTATAGCCAACTCCCTCTTCAAAACTGTCTAGTCTGGGAATCTCTGTTGGCCCTAGCTCCTCAGTTGCCTGTTTGTCACTACAATTTTTGGGTTCCCAATGTCACTATTCTTAGGGAATGGGATCAGGGATACTCCAAACCCCCACTCCATTTTAATTTCCCCAAGTAGGAAAACAGTTCAGATGTTGTCCAGCCTAAAAAGACAAATAAAATAAGCAAAACCAGTGGAATGAGGGGGTTTGCTGGAGTAGTCTAGCCTTCCAGCTCTGTTTTCATGCTCATCTTGTTTTTGTCCCTTTCAGGTATCCAGTCTTCTCTTGGGTTTCTCTTTCAATTATCTTAAATCAAAACAAACAAACAAACAAAACCTCTAAGAAAAGAGCTTTATAAACATATTTACAGTAAATTATCTATGGTGTATAAATTAAAACTGGTTTACTAATTTATTGAATGTAAAATATTTTTTCAGGATTCTATTTGTGTGTATTTTATTAGTAAGGTTGGTCATTTGTTTACAATTTATATTTCTTTCGAGGATAATTTTCTATTTTGTTAAATGGCCTCTTGATTTTTCCTCTATGTTTTTTAAATGTTATTGTATTTTCAACAGGAAACACAAGTTTTATCATAAAGAATAATGAAGTAGTAATGGTGGAATTTCGGGTTAAGGTAAAATATGATAACACAGTGAACATGCATAAAACATGATCTAAATTCAAGACCCTCCAATTTTAGAAGTTGGTAAAATCAAGTATCATATATCAATGGACCCAGTTCCAGAGAAATTTGTTTCCACCTCAGGTTATTTAAAATTACTGTTCGAGTGCCTCTGAAGGGTGACTTATTTTCAATACATTTGCAATAGAATTGCAGAGAAAGGTTTTCCAGATAACATCCTAGGCTGCAAGTCACTCGACTCAGATTTTGGTGTATTTTAAACAAAAATAGATAAGCGATGTTAGCTTTAAAGGGGTCCCCCCTCCCCTCCACCCAAATATATGCATAATAGTAGAGTCATAATGAGCCACCCATGACAGGTTTTTATTTTTCAAATATAGTCCATCCATCCACTGTTCACCCGAACACCTACTGAATGCTTGGGACCTATCGACAGAGCACAGGATTACCGCTCCCGTAATCTGATGGTGCTGGTGGGGTGAGGGGCAGTCCGCACAGTGAGAGAAAAGCCGTAATTCGTGCCAGGAAAACGAGGTACTCTTTCTGGTTGAGTTGGTAAAATGGATCGCGAGGAGAGTTCCCTAAGCACAGAGTTAAACTTCCAACGAAGGCCAGATAATGGATTTACCTGACGGAAGACTGGTTGCTAATTGCAACCTTGAAATCCTTAAGGTAGTTTACGTCCCTAAATATCAAAGTAATAACGGTTGTAGGCCCTAAGGAAGAAAGGGTGGCTCAGATAAGTATTAATAGAAAACGTGCTATTGCTTTTGATATTCTATCCAATTCAAACGTGGCTTGCCTAGGTACAATCTCCTATTTTTGGCAGACCACGGCTAGTCGTTTTTCGGCCGGCACGCACGATCGTTAAGCTTCTGCTTTATTTTTCAGCCTATGGTAATGTTTTGAGGTGCCAAGGCGGAAAAACTTTTGACAACGTCGCGAGGAAACAAGCATCCGTGACGAAAACCGCCAAGACCGCCTAAGTCCCTTGCGAGTTCTGCGGCCAAAGCTCCGCTAGAGGGTAGCAGAATTGGTCAGACGCCACTCAGGAAAAGGTCTTACTTAGATCGTGGCCATTTTTATAACATCGAAGTGCGTTTGGCGCATTATCAGAGCGCAAGTGTAACTAACTTCCTAGTTTACAGGCGTCCAAGAAGGAATTCAGTACTTCTTGGCGTAGGGAGACGAGCTGTGCTAACAGAACCTCTTCTTGAATCCCGGGCTTTTCCTAAGAGTGCGACTGTGCTTTTGGTTCTGGCTTGGTTTGAGTCGGCCCCACGAAAGGTATGAATTAGACCAGCAAAACAATGGGACGAAAGATAGGGTCAAAGGTCTCCCTCACAGTCAGGAAGCGGAGCCAGCGAATCCCACAACGAGACCAAACGACTAAATGCCACTAGCAAATCTCTCCGCCCCACTATCCATTCGCGCCGAGGCAGCTGATAAGGCCGAAGGGAGAGGCCGCCAGCACTTCGCGCGAGACCAGCCACGCGACTTCCCAGAAAGCCTCAGGAACCATCTCAACACGAGCGAGGGAACGGGTTTAGGGCGGGAGGGTGGGCGGGGCTTGCCCGGTTATTTAGCGGCACCACAGGCCACGCCCCTAATCGGAAGTGACGAAAATGAGCTAGCGCGTCGAAGATACCTCTATGGTTTTCCTCCCGTTCCTGAGTCGGGAAATGGCCGCTGTGTAGTTACAACGGAGATAAGTCCCGGGAACCGTCCTTCGGGGTGTCAGGTAGGCCTCGCGCGGCATTCAGAGTAGTGAATTCACTCAAGGGAAGTGAATACAAAGGGCAAATGAATATTGTTGAGCCTTTTGTGGGTGGTGGCGGATTGGCGGCGACCCGAGAACCCAGGAGACGTTGTGCCGTTATTTATGCGTTTCTCCGTCAGCTCCGCTCAGGTTTTTGAGACATTAGGGCCAAAATTTTGGGGCAGGGGGAGTGAGCAGCGAGAACGGTCTCGGTGCTGTGGCTTCGAACCTGGTGGAGACCCACAGACCGCGCGGCCTCTAAGTGCGCGTGCGCATATCATCCTCTTCAACCCTTCCCCCATTTCCTCGGCCTAGACCCCTGCGCGCGCCCGAAGGAACGCTTGGCCGGCGCACGCGCGTTGCCTCCTCTCTCTGTTCCCCGCTTGTAGCTCCCGGGGCTGTGAGATGTGCAACACGGGTTCTCTTCGTTGGCCGTGATCGCCACTGTTTTTCGCCTCTTTGAAATTTTTTTCCCCGTCTTAACGCTACCCGTCGGCTTACACCTCATCTTCGTTACTCTGGTCTGTGTAGGATGTGTTCTGTCCCTCGTAACTGAATTCCGAATCCACCTCGAGTCCTTGGTGTTGGGGGAATTTCCCCGGGGTTAGTCTTCTCGGGTCCCCTTGGCAACCCAGTAGCAACCCCCTGTGTTTTGGAGGAACGGTGTACTGGTTACAGCTTCCTAGGATGGGCGGCGGGCCTTAGCTGATCATGTGAGTGGTTCTACGACGACGGGACCGGAAGGGCAGTTCTCCAGTAGTACAGGCGAAGCCATGTCTCTTCAGCAAGCGATTTAGCCCATTATATCGTATCAGAAATGTAGCCATGTTTGGTGGCTGCGTTGAGATTAGGGATTTTGCCCTCATTTTTGTCAAGAGTCCCTGAGTTGGCTTTATTTGCTTTTAAGATTTATCTCATCAGAATCAAGTACATCTACTTTTGTACATCAAACTTTTTTACAGCGTTTTACAATTGGAAAAAAGAGACCAACGCTGGAATACGAGCATGACCAAAACTGATGTAAAGAGATTAGCTACTTCAGACATCAGTTTTTGCAGCAGCACCTTGCAGCTATCTTGGGAAATTAAAAAGCAGAAAAATTTCTTATACCTCTTGTGAGTTCTCTTTTCAGTTGGAGCCTAGCTACTGTTAATACAGGAACCTTAACATGGGAAGAACTGCTACAAGTTTATTTGTGTTTTTATCTTACCCTACCCAATTCAGGATAAATAATTTGAAGGGAAGGATTGTGTTTGTAAAGTAACACAGGGTGGACCAATTTAAAGTCTGTCCACTGATGGCTTGTTGTATCTTGTTTTAAGGTTGCCATGTTTTCAGCGTTAAATTGTGGTAAACATTGGAATTCCCCTTAATTCAGATAATTAAAATGGTGGCAAAAGAAATTTAGATAGAGATGATTATTGATTGGGAAGAACAGTATTTTAGAACTTGGAGACAGACCTGTAAAAACTTACCAGGTGGTAGGTTCAGTTCTAGTTGAATTTATTGACTAACTTATGCGGGTTAGTTGTACTAGATTTTTCATGAGAACACTTGTAGAAATGGAGAAAGCTTTTCAGTTCTACAAAGAACTTTGGATTGGGAGTTTACAGAAACTACTTTCAAAATCATTATTGAACACTAGCTGAATTCTGTATTATTTACAGTGATTTATTAACAAAGAAATAGCGAATCAAGACATCCAATCTGTCTCACTTAAAATGCTCTATTTCTAGCCCTAGAATAATAGTGCCTGGCTTGCAATAGGCACCTTAGAAATGCAAAGGAATTCTGAAAGCTTGGGGTTCTCAGCATTTGAAAGATGGGGTTTATATGTAGCATGTGAAATTATGAGAATAAAATGACATGATTTTAAAATCAGCACAGTTCTTGGCACATGGTTGATATTTAGATATTTAGTTTGCCTTGATTTGATTTGTTCCTTTTCCTCCCTAGTTGGTTTTTGGAGGGCAGGGGTCTCTTATGTAGTCATGTCTCTATAATGCACTGTGCTTTGTGCATAGAATTGCTTTTTTTTTTTTTTTTTAAATAACTGAGTTGATTATAGTCTTTTACCGACTATATTAGATATTTTAATATAAAATGTTAAATATTTATATTAAATGTTAAGCACATTGTGTGTCATTTTACATATGGTCATTGATTCTTAGTATGGCTACTTGAATATATTTATAGATTGTGCTTGAGAATATGTATCTCCTAGTCTAAGAGCCTACAGACCCTCTCCCCCTCACTTTGCTATTTCTAGTGTTTATTTTCTTGGAACTTCAAAAAAGCATGAGAGATTGGGCAGTTATTTCTCATCTGGATATATAGAAATTAAAATTAGCCTTTTGGATTTGTTAGCTAAAGTGAAATGTATCACTTCTAGCAGTAAATCTCAGTAGTACTCAACTTCTAGGTCACAATAAAGTTTCATAACACACCAGTTTAGATTAATTTTTCAGTGCACTTGGGGAGGTTAATATTTTTCAAACTATAAATATACACGCATTTTAGAAATTGTTTCTGATCTGTGACCTTTTGTATTGCTGCTTTTTACTTTACTTAGTGGGTTTCCCTCAATCACTAGGCTCTTACTCCTCCTTCCTAGCATGAATCTTAACTCTTACTCTCCCCTCCCCTTGGCAGTAAGGGCATGGGTATTTAGGGGACATTGTTCTTGGTTTACCAGTTTAATCTTACATTTTTCTGCTTTGTAGTCCTAATTTTATTGCATTTTTTATTTAAAAATTATTATTTATTGTTCAAGTACTGTTGTCTGCCTTTTCCTTCTACCACTCTCCTCTCTTTGGCTTTTCAGTGGGTCCTTTATACATGTTCCTTTATTGCACTTTTTAATTGGGTGGATGACTTTATAAGATTTCATATTGATGTGTATTTTTTCCCATTTAAGCCCAGTTGTTAATTCCTTGAGTATAGGCATGTAATCAGTCTTATATTTCTTAGTTTAGTTTTTGCTCCTTTAGTGTTTTTTGGTCTATTCTTTGCATATAATTGATAATAACTGAATGTTACAAGGCTAACCATTTCAGTATTGATAACTGCTTAATATTTTGTGCAAAACTTAAATTAATTTGAATAATACTAAATTTAGGAAGAGTATTGGCTTCCAGTCGATGTTTAATTTACTGGCTGTTGTGTTATTGGAATGTCTGCCATACATGTGTCAAAATACTTTTAGGCACAAAACTTAGAGTTACTGTGATGTTTGTTGTATGAACTGTAAAAAATCAATTTTAGGTGAAACTGCACTGTATGAAAGGAAGTGGCCGAGAGAATAAGATAAATAGCAGAGCATTGAAATGAACTCATTTTAGATAAATTATAAATTATGACATTAAGAATATTAACTACATATATCTGACAAGATGGCATTATGTTAGCCACTTCAGAGTTTTCTGATAGGATGACAGTATAGCTTAAGTTTTGTAAAGCCTACATTGCTAAAATTAGAATTCAGCTATTTAAGAAGTAAGGGTGCTATTGGTTTAATAATAGACCATTGCATTCTGATTAGAACAAAAGAAATTCTTTAGGTTTATGGTTAAAGTGTATTTCCTAATTCAGTTTTCCCGTCCCTGAAATCATTTAGTGCCTTTATTAAGAGTTTATTGCAGTGCTAGGTATACTTGTTTATTTTACTGGCTGTTGTAAACAGTGTGTATTTAATTTATCATAAATCAAACTTGTATTTTTTATTTTTGCCAGGAATTTGAATTTAGATTTACTCTCTAAGACCATTCTCTCCAGGAAGAATTTACAGTATCACAAAGACTTCACTTAATTGCTTGATCCTGCATAAAACCCAAGGTACATATTATTCATTTTTCTCTTTTTATTGGGCTTATTTGAAAAATATGACTGTTAAACTCATGATTCAGGCTGAATGGTTAAAAATGATGTAGTCTAAAGTGTTTTTGTTTTTGGTAGCTTATATGAAGTAAGCCAGATTTTAAAAGTTAGTTTTAGGAAAAAGATTCTCTTTATCTCTCCCGCTTTTAGGTTGTGTCTGCTTCTACTTCTATAAACACATCTATTCAAAGACTTGAACACACAAAGCTATTTAAAAGTAAAGCAGGACAAAATTATCTTGCTTATTTAACTCATCTTCCCTTATTTATACAGGAGTTCCAGAACTTAGCTTTTTCCTCTCATTATATTAGTGTTAATGTAATTGAAGTTGATCTCTTATTATGTGCTAAGTTTTCTGTTAAGTGTGTTGCATGTGTCAACTCATTTAGTCCTTACTACAATTCTGAGGAACATACTGTCTATATCTTAGAATAAAGAGAGAAGACAAAGCTGGTATTTGTCTATTTGAGGATAGTTATGTTTTATTTTGAAATAATATTTGTCAGAACCTTGACTTGTCATTTATGGTTTTTGATGAGGAAGAATGCGGACATTGTCATTACTTTTATCTATAATTCAACTTATCTGAGTACTTTTAAATACTATATCATAATACTGTGGAAAGTCAAGGCAGGTGAAATAAGTACCTTCAAAAATAGTTGTAGGAGAAATGGTTTAAAATACGGCAATTGCATGCTGTTAAGTTTAGCGAGTCACTTTTATAGAAACAATTACTAATTTTCAGTAATGAGTTAGTGGTAAATTTGGAAATTATAGCAGAAATAAACTTGGGAAATATGTGTAAATAAATTTTTGTGAAGAGTGGATTTATAAATCGAGTAGTATTGTTACTGATTTCTGAGGTCTAATTAGATACCAGTTACATTATATTCTAAAATAGTGTTTAGAAAAGTTAGAATACTGGTACCCAATTCTCTCTTTCTTACAGCTCCAACCTCTTTCCTGCAGCCATCTCTTCAGTTTCATGTTCTTACCAGAAAGCTACAGGGTAGGCTAGGCACTGATAAGTCCATTTTTAGTCTGCAGTCATGACTGTGGAGAGTAGAGCCATGACCTCAGCTGTTCAGAGATTTAGTGGACTTAATTATGCTAGAAAGACTATTCATCATTCCAAGCAGTATTGTATGCATGAAGTAGTCAGTTTAGACCCATTTCAAGGCCTTGAAGCATTGCAGTGACAGTCTGGTAGGTTTATCTTTCTTAGTATTAAGCCATTTGTATTTTCTTTGTTTCAGATTCCTTATCTGTAATACTTTGTTGTTTACCTTTTTTATCGGAGAGGTGGGCATTTGTATTGGATATGGAATAACATCTAACGTATTGCTGCAGTCATTGCTGATGACTAGGTCATTTTTAGTTCATTGCTCTTTCTGACTTCCGCAGCTCCTGCCTTTTTTGGATTGAGGCACGTAGGTGGGGCAGTTCATAGAAATTTTCTTTTGTGTCTTCAATATATACAATAACTTTCATACAGGTGAAAAATACAGTTTTTAGTTAGGAATAATTGTGTGGTTTAGTATTCACTTAAAAAGAATGATGATGAGTAATATCCTTTGAGAAATGTATCTTGTAGAATTTAACTTGTATATGGAAATAAGTTAGATAATGTGAAACTTGTTCAGTTATGTTGTGATTTTTAACTTTTTTTTATCTTCTTTTACTAGGAGAAAAAATGGGTCGTTCCAATTCTAGATCACATTCTTCAAGATCAAAGTCTAGATCACAGTCTAGTTCTCGGTCAAGATCAAGGTCACACTCTAGAAAGAAGAGATACAGGTGAATTATCATGCTTTTAAGTCTCAATAATGATAATCATATCGGCTAATACTTATGGAGTGCTTATTATAATGGTACATTGTTAAATTTATTAACATTTTACTCTCAAAAGAACACTGTCAAATTTATCTATTGTTAACCTCATATTAGAGTCAGAGAAATTGAGAATTGTCCAGGTTGTATGTAAGCTAGTAAATGGCAAGGCATAGATTAAAATCCAGCTAGTCTAACTCTACACCTCAGATTCTTAATGTACTGTGCTCTAAATGGTAGATTACTTGTATTTTACTATATGTTAAGAGATGAACTGGATAAGGTAACAATTATGTGGCAGTAAGCAATCTGCAATTATTTTACAGTTTTTTACTATTTCTGACTCAGGGTCTCCATAAGTTTAATTCTTTTGTTAAAAATGATTGACTCTGGTTGTCTTTCTTTAAATAGTAATACATACTTGGTGTAGAGAATAGAAACCATAAGTTGAAAATAGAAGTAAGCATACTTTATTGAGAATACTAGGTTATGATTTTTCCTGGATTATTTTTTTAAGCCTAAATTTATATTATGTGTGCATTTGTCCACTGGTATTTCACTGATGAGTATTCTGTGCCATTAAAAACTCTTTTATACTATCACTTTAAGTGCTTGGATAAATACTATAATTTGTCATTATGTTCTGTTGGATGTGTCTTGTCCCCCCATTTTCTGTGCCTTCATTTCTAAGGCCTTTAACTTATTCTTTTAATATTCCTCTTAGAAATGAGACTTCTTTCATTGAAAAACACTAAACTTTTGTTATATGAGTTGTTTTTAATATACATTTTTAGCTTTGACAATTGATATACTTGTTATAGTTTAAACTTAGAGTGTTTAGAATGGTAGGATAGAATAGTTTGTTTTTATTGCATTGATATTTATTTCATTTTTAGTTCTAGGTCTCGTTCCAGGACGTATTCAAGATCTCGTAGTAGAGATCGTATTTATTCTAGAGATTATCGGCGAGATTACAGAAATAATAGAGGAATGAGACGACCTTATGGGTACAGAGGAAGGGGTAGAGGGTATTATCAAGGTGGAGGAGGTAGATACCATCGAGGTGGCTATAGACCTGTCTGGAATAGAAGACACTCGAGGAGTCCTAGACGAGGTCGTTCACGTTCCAGGAGTCCAAAAAGAAGATCCGTTTCCTCACAAAGATCCCGAAGCAGATCTCGTCGGTCATATAGATCCTCTAGGTCTCCAAGATCATCTTCTTCTCGTTCTTCATCCCCATATAGCAAATCTCCTGTCTCTAAAAGACGAGGGTCTCAGGAAAAACAAACCAAAAAATCTGAAGGGGAACCCCAAGAAGAGAGTCCTTTAAAAAATAAATCACAAGAGGAACCGAAAGATACATTTGAACATGACCCATCTGAATCTATTGATGAGTTTAATAAATCATCGGCCACATCTGGTGATATTTGGCCTGGTCTTTCAGCTTATGATAATAGTCCCAGATCACCCCACAGTCCTTCACCAATTGCCACACCACCTAGTCAGAGTTCATCTTGCTCTGATGCACCCATGCTCAGTACAGTTCACTCTGCAAAAAATACCCCCTCTCAGCATTCACATTCCATTCAGCATAGTCCTGAAAGATCTGGGTCTGGTTCTGTTGGAAATGGATCTAGTCGCTATAGTCCTTCTCAGAATAGTCCAATTCATCACATCCCTTCACGAAGAAGCCCTGCAAAGACAATCACACCACAGAATGCTCCAAGAGATGAGGCTAGGGGACGTTCCTCATTTTATCCTGATGGTGGAGATCAGGAATCTGCAAAGACAGGAAAATTCTTAAAAAGGTAAGAACTAGAGGATTTAGGTTAAAATATTAATAGTTATTTAAATTGCATTATAATGTGTATTTAGCTCTTTTGCTCGACTTTATAAGTTAATTTCAAGTTGGTTTCACTCATATCTTGCTAACTTTGGAACTAAGCGCTTTAATAGAAACTATATTTCTTTTTTATCTGTTTTTAGTAAGTTCAGTTAAGAATGTAAACAAGGAAGAATTAAGTAGGGTAAAGCGTAACTGACAGCTAACATGTAAAAACAAAATATTTTTAGAGGTTAATTTTGTAGTGTTAGAGCTTCGAAAGCTTATTTTGTTTTCTTCAGCATTATAATGTGACCTATATAAATAATGCAATTCTATTTCATGTTCTTGTGTGGTATTATAAACAGTCTAGCTGCAATATTTTAATAAATCTGCCTGTCCATAGAGAAGATAATGGTATTTTTTACTGACCTAGTGACATTTTAAACATATTTTGTTTAAATTCTAATTTCAAATGTTGCTAAACTCTTTGAAAACTTTTCTAATGTAGTGTGATTGACTTAAAAATAAGAAAATAGAGCAAGCATGCTATTTATGGTATACAATGCTGTGCAATCTACAGTTAAATTTTCTAATTCTACTTGATATATAGTTTGTACTTAATTCCAGAAATCATTATTTTTTACAGCAAAGTATATATGAACTATTTTATGATTCAGATAGAGTACTTAGTATTACCAACTACATTAAAGTCCAATTTTGTGAACTATTGTATTATCAAATAAGTAAAATATGAAATTTTGTGTATAATCATAAATAGAATTTTAATAGATAAGTGTATTACTTACTGGTGATATTTAGCCTCAAATTAAACTTAAGCTATATTGTGTGTTATAGCATCTCTGGAAATTTGGGTTTGTTAGTGCAGAATTGTGAACTATGTCTAAATAGAACAGGTTTTTGAGAATGGCTTTGCTTTTTAAACTTCAGAAAGTCTATTACATAAACTTATTTAAAAACTCAGTGCATAAGTGCTATTTAAAAAGTGGAATCTGAAAACACTTTCAGTAGGTTTTTTCCCCCTCTCATTACTGGTCCTGTGGTATTGGTCAGCACATTTAAGTATGCAAATTATCCACAGTGAATGCAATCCAGAGTTACCATCCTCTTCTTTGCTTATTCACAGGTTCACAGATGAAGAGTCTAGAGTATTCCTGCTTGATAGGGGTAATACCAGGGAAAAAGAGGCTCCAAAGGAGAAAGGATCAGAGAAAGGGAGGGCAGAGGGAGAATGGGAAGATCAGGAAGCTCTAGATTACTTCAGTGATAAAGAGTCTGGAAAACAAAAGTTTAATGATTCAGAAGGGGATGACACAGAGGAGACAGAGGATTATAGACAGTTCAGGAAGTCAGTCCTTGCAGATCAGGGTAAAAATTTTGCTACTGCATCTCACCGGAATACTGAGGAGGAAGGAACCAAGTACAAGTCCAAAGTTTCACTGAAAGGCAATAGAGAAAGTGATGGATTTAGAGAAGAAAAAAATTATAAGCTTAAAGAGACTGGCTATGTAGTGGAGAGGCCTAGCTCTACAAAAGATAAGCACAAGGAAGACGACAAAAATTCTGAGAGAATAACAGTAAAGAAAGAAACTCAGTCACCTGAGCAGGTAAAGTCTGAAAAGCTCAAAGACCTCTTTGATTACAGTCCCCCTCTACACAAGAACCTGGATGCACGAGAAAAGTCTACCTTCAGAGAGGAGAGCCCACTTAGGATCAAAATGATAGCCAGTGACTCTCATCGTCCTGAAGTCAAACTCAAAATGGCCCCTGTTCCTCTTGATGATTCTAACAGGTAATTTCACATTGAAGCCCAGTAAATAAAATGGCTTTTAAAATGTGGGTGGTTAGTTAATATTCCACTTAATTACTATATTTTCTGAACATTTCCCATTTTCACTTTGAAACCAATGGTATATTTTGTTTGTGTGTGTTTGTACCAATATGTTCCAGACCTGCTTCCTTGACCAAAGACAGGCTACTTGCTAGTACACTTGTCCATTCTGTCAAGAAGGAGCAAGAATTCCGATCCATCTTTGACCACATTAAGTTGCCACAGGCCAGCAAAAGCACTTCAGAGTCATTTATTCAGCACATTGTATCCTTGGTTCATCATGTTAAAGGTATGTTTAGTTTAGTATTGTGTATTAAATTTCTCCTGCAAATAAAAGAAGATGAACAGCTGTGCTTAATAATCAGTGTACTCCAGGAATAGCAGGTATACGGGCATTGTTAAAAATTTGGAAAAAACAGTGTTTCATGAAAAGAGATATTAGTCTTGCTAGCAGGAAGGTATTTATATTAAAGTGACTGAAATGCTTAGAGTTAGAACATACCCTAAAAATTTATAGCATAGTAAAATGTAATGTAGATTTATTTAATGCTAAAACTCTTTTTGAAATACGCCATTATATTCTATTTGAAGTACAGAATGTTTCTAGATTTACAATGGTCAAGCAATATTGTTACTGAATATTACTAAGAGCTTTTCTCAACTTTAAAACCTGAAACCTGTGGGAAAACAGTATTAATTTCCTGTCTTGTTTTTGTGTTACTTAGTTTGTTATATAAGTGTTTTAGCTTGTTTACTTGGTAAATAAACCAGAGAAAACTGATAGGATTTTTAAAAGGGGAAATGAGAAACTTAATAGAATATTAGATTAGTAGTGATTACATGAATAAAGACTAGGTTAATGATATGAGATTACTTTAGACACTAAAGATGATAAAGGTTGTTTATGTCAAATGAAGCATGATGTGTTCATCAGGATGTCATTCTAGTTACAAGTTACTAATTATTTTCAAAAGCTTAGGATACGAGTTTTTGGGCAATTATGTTTTGTTTTTTTTGTTTCTGTGTTTAAAAGGCAGCGTACTGTGAAGTAAGTAGGTTCTTAAGCTCAGGAATCTCCATGGCTGTTCGTCTTAAAAGCCATTTTTAAAATCAGGTTTGTCTTTTGACGTGAGAACAACTCATTGTAATAGTTGAAACTCATGACCAGCAATTCTTTATGCACTTGATATTTCAAAACAGTGAATAATTTCTTTTTTGACTGTAATTACTTAAATGTGGTAATGAGTTTTGTTATTTGGCTATAACTAGAGTGAACCTGTTTATGACCATATTACTGTGGTACATAAAACACAAAACATTAACATTTTTCTTTTTTCACCTTTTTTTTTTGACCTGTCTCCACATTTTAAAATTTATTGCTAAATTTTGAGATCAGGTTTTGAAACAATTTTTTTTTCATTTTCTTTTTTTTTTTTAAAGAACTGTTGTTATGTTTTATTATTGGTATTGTGCAACCGATCTGAACAGCTCTTTCTTAATTTAGAGCTGAAAATGCCCAGTGATGTTTTCTTTTTCATTGTAACTAGGTCCTGGAATATGTTTTGAAATGGCAAAATCCATGTTTCAAAGTAAAATAGCTGTTGAAAGATACAGGCAAAGTTGAATCTTCTGTCTTCCTGGCAAAAATGGCATAAAAAACTGAGTTGCTAGCTCAAATTCCTGGGTTTCATGGAATTATGATTGAGGCACTACCCTTGTAGTGGCCGTTTCAAGTTTTAATGATTGGTTATGAGACATGTGCTGGATATTGGGCGGTAAGTTGACAAAGATGTATGTTGACCTGTTAAGCAGATAGATTGCTTCGTAATGTAACGTTTCATGACTTTTTATACGTCTTTGTATTTTACATTTACAGCATATCTTGGACTAGTTTAAAAATTAGTATTGATATCACTATAATTTTAAAATTGTTAAAAGAAAGACAAGGCATTAACATCAGATGTGCTGTCAGGTTTGCCAAGATGCCAGATTTTTGGAGTAATTAGTGAAATTTAATTGAAGAAATATTTCTAATGGAAATAGTAGTATTCAATTTTTTTCTTAAATGCAGTTTTTGTTGTCAGTGTAGTTCTTGATGAAATCATTTTATTAGTTTACTAAAATCAGCTATGTAGTTCAGTATTTTTGTTTTCTGCAAACGATTACTTGAAGTAAATTCATTTGTTCATAATGGCAAGGTGTATAAGGGTATTCACATATTGTTTTCTGTTTGAGGAAGTAGTGCATTATAGAAATGGATTAGAGACTCTTCAGTTTAATCTATTTATTGTTTTTGGATTGTATGTAGTATTGTCAGGGACCTGTGAGAAACTTTGCATCAGTTTTCTGTTGAGGTCTAAGAGTTATATATAAAAGGGGCAGGGTAGGAGGAGCTCTTTGTAACACTTGATTCTCTTCTGCTAGGTTTCTTGAGTATTTTTATTTTCTTTTCACCTGCCACACGCCCTTCTATCACAAATGAAAATTCCTATGTAACTAATTGGGCAGTATTTCTCCTAAATCAACAGAGCAATACTTCAAATCACCTGCAATGTCCCTAAACGAGAGGTTCACCTCCTATCAGAAAGCCACTGAAGAACATAGTACCCGGCAAAAGAGCCCAGAGATACACAGGTATGTGTATTATTGAATGGGCATACCAATGCTATTTTGGTAGGAAGACAACATTTAAACAAATTACATTGGAACTATGCTATCATCACTATATAAATGAACTTTGGTTTAATTCCTGATTTATACCTTGAATAAATATGTTTGTCACTTACTGTTTATTTTTTTTTTCTTTTAATTTAAACTGGCTGTTAGAATTTAAAATACTCTTGTCACTCCCCTGTATGGAATTAAAATAGCCACCATGTTTGTTTTGGGGGAAGGGGTTGGGTGCTTACAGTAACCCTTGAATTAGTTTAATTCCAATATGTTTGTAAAATAAAAGTGCTTGGTGGAGAGGTAGACCTATTTTTATGAAAAGATCATGGATGTCAAAGTTAGACGAATATAAGTATTTTCAGATTTTGCCTCTGCATGACACTTTGTTGCATTATGATGAACAAGTTATTTAATCTTTAAACATTAGTTTTTTTCTATGCCTATTCTGCAGGGTAGTGGTGACCATAGTATTATTGACTATAAAGTATATAACTGAGTACTTGTTATATAATAGGTGTGGTTTTGGTGGTAACTACTGAAAAAGCAATGGGAAGTTGCAATTGACAGCTTAAAAGTAGGGAGAGGCACAGAATAAAACTAAAGACCTACTGAATATTTAAAATATTGGGGGTTTAGGAATAAATGATCCTATTCATGTTTTCATTGGGGATATTAAGTATATTTGTATTATAATTGTATAATGGTTGACACTTAAAATTTAATCAAAACAGTTTTTTTATTAAAATAAGTTTGTTCTAAAAGGTCAGGCTTTATAAAAAATCTGGTTGAAACATTTTACTTTTAGTGGAAGTAATTTTATTAATTATCTAATAGTAATTAGACTAATTACTGAGTTAAATTAGTCAAATCAGTAGAGAAATAATGGTCTAGTATTTTCTTTACAAAAATGAAAAATTATCATTGGAACCATTAAATTAATGTGACTACAAATAGACTTTATTTTACATTAAGGAGAATTGACATCTCTCCAAGTGCCCTGAGGAAGCATACCCGTTTAGCAGGGGAAGAGAGAGTTTTTAAAGAAGAAATTCAAAAGGTATGTTTAAAGGGAAATTTTTTTTTCCACGTTAAGTTCAGCTTTGTCAGTGATATGTATGAAGCATGGTTTGTCTAGGCAAAACGTTTACAGATATCATTTATTTTTAACTTGTAAATATACTATATATACATACATATATTCATATATACACATACACATTATTCCTTTCTAGAAGTTAAGCTGACACTATATTGTATACTAAATTAAATCAAGAATAATTTTTTTTAGCATTTTTATGACTTTATTTGAGCCAAACTGTGCCAGATGCCAGAGAGCAGGACCTCAAATGCTCCCTAAATCAAGTGTAATTTTAATAAAATGCTAATGAAGGAAAGACATTACTTTTAAGAGTAAATAATGTATGGGTAGACAAAGGAAAATTATAGAAGCAGTGATACACATTATATTAGGGTTTCAAGAAAGTTTTGAAGGGAAATGAATGATAATATCTCTACGTTCTTCACAGAAGTAACCCTAGTGCTACTGGGCATTTTTGATCTGGACTAAGAAATAAACATTCTAAAAACTGATTTACAAGTGAACGTTTGGAACAAAAGTTGTGTCACTGTTAGAATATTTGTGGACTTGGGGGGGACAAATATTTAAACTAGAGGAGTCTGTGAATGACTGGCTTTGGGGGGCTCTGTGAGAATGGAGTTCAGTTGTTTTGGGGGGGCTTTGATATACTCTGATAATTCAAAATTGACATTTTCTAGGTAGGCCAGTTATGTGACAGGCCATAAAAGCTTAGTTAGAAGTGTGTAGAGAAAAGTAGAAGGAGATCAACTGTTACAATAGGTGGCTTGGAAGTACTGCTTTGGTCCAATTTTGGCTGTCACCAAATACTGTCTCTGATACTTGGAAAACATTTAGCTTCTTGGACGTTGGTTTTCCAACCAGAAAAATGAGAATACATGTTTTGGTGAGTTGTTGAAAAGTGGGAATATTATGAAAACGTTGGTACTTTTATTACTAGAAGCTTTTATTTAACAGTGGTGTACAACTTTTTAAATATAACTTACTATATAGGAATTTAGAGCTTAGAAAAAAATGGTTTCTTCGCATGGAATATTGATCTTGGATTCTGAGAAGTAAATACTAATTTGGACTTCCACTTTCAATACCTAGGATTCAGTGTCAGTTTTGTTTTGCAAACAATTTAGTCTATACTTGTGCCCTGACACTGAGTATTTTGCTTCTCTAATTACTCAGATTAGATTTTGATTTGGAAGGGAAAATAGTGGTTACTAATGGATGGATAAGAGGATATGACATTCCTTTTTATCTTTCACCTTCCTATCTGAATGAATAATGAACATATGTGTTAATGTGTAATATACATATAGCTTGGAGTTTATATACACTACTTTTCACTTTCCTTAGCTTGTTACTTGTGGGGTTGGTAATACCTAGGTGAATAGTAAGTTTTTTGTTCTTGATTAAATTTTCTTGGTTAGCCTGGGAGCACATAGGTGAGTAGTTTTCATTTGGAGATCTATTTATACTTTCTGGTTTATGAATGCTTATGAATATCATAGCTAGACTTCCCAGTACTATTTATTGCTGACTATTAGCAAGGATGTCCACATTATTAGCATCTTACTGATGTATAATTTTTCTTCATTCCTAGATTCCTCTTTCCATCTTCCTAAATTATATAGTATTTGAAAAAGCAATGGAACAAGAAGGAGGTGAATTGTGACCCAGTTAAACTAATGTCCGTTACAATACCTGAATTGAGAAAGGGCAGTATATGGCCTAAGATACTGAGTACAGGATTGGGAATAATGTCATTTTGGCTTTGTTTCTACCCTTGTTCAACTTCAATTGGTTTCATTAATTATTATTCCAGTTGCATGTTACGGAAATTATAGAAATCTTACTTTAAGTGGTTTTTATTGGGTTGGTCAACTTCTTTGGAAAGAGCTTTATGATAATGAGATTTAAGTAATTAGAACCATTACTTTAGGATACCTTAACTTTATAGGCAGATGGCTATACCACAAGTATAGATTATAACCTTTGTCATTGTTTAACGACCTTTTAAAAATGCTATTTGTAATAGGGGTGATAATGAAGATTGCTGAGCAGAAAAATAATTATTTTATTATACAAAAGTTGATGGATTGCTTTGAACAAAAACATAGGATGTTTTCAAGAGAACTAGATTTTAATAACTTTCCCAGTCTTGCTGCACTTGTGTACACAAATATTTAGTAAGAACAATCAAGAACATTTTATTTTATTTTATTTTTTTACAAAAACTAAGTGTAGAAGTAGTTTATGATCCTTTTTTTCTGATCGTAAAATGTCACTTTAGAAACGTATAAAATTTGGCTCTCTCTCTTTATATATATACGTATTTTTTTTAATATCGCCCCTGAAATTTATTTTACATCTGTCTTTTATAGGGAGACAAAAAATTAAGGTGTGATTCTGCTGATCTTCGGCATGACATTGATCGTCGGAGAAAAGAAAGAAGTAAAGAACGTGGGGATTCCAAGGGCTCCAGGGAATCCAGTGGGTCAAGAAAGCAAGAAAAAACTCCAAAAGATTACAAGGAATTCAAATCTTACAAAGATGACAGGTAATTGTTAAAACTGTCTGAATTAGGTTTTAGCTTCTAATTAGCCTTTAATAATTGTCAGCTTAATTGCTTTCAATTTTGACTGTGTAATCGAATGTTTAAATTTAAACAATTAAAATTATTTGTTTTACAGCAAAAATGTATTTGTCTTTTACACGGCTTATGGTGGATGAGGACAAAAACTTTGGAATAGCAAGCTAACACTGAAAAAAAAAATGACAAATTAATGTGTCCTATTATCCAGGCTACATCAGGAGGTTGGACTTCAATGCAGTGCATTTCTAGAAACAGTTTGTGTAAGAACTTTGGTTCGTTATGCTTGATTCCGCACTTTTTCAACTCATAACACCCAGAGTACAAGAATTTTAAACTGATTTCTAGTGGTTTAACATGGGAGAGATGGGGGGGGAGGAAGCACTAGTTTTTATGAAATAGCAATGTGTATTAGTCTTTCAAAGTAATGTTTCCATGGATACTGTTAGCAGTGGTAAGAGTTATTGCAGGTATGACCTTTTCGGGTGTTGCATTAGAATCATGTAAAATTGATCACCATAGAGTCAAAAAAGTAATAGGAATGTTAAGTATCTTAGATAATTGTTTTGCGGGGGGAGGGTTGTTTGGTTGGTTTTTGTTTTGGGTTCTATTTATTTATTTATTTATTGGTATTAGGTAAATGAATTTTACTTGTGTTTTTTATTTATGACTGGTATTTGTAATGTCATGTTTTTTTTATTTCTATAATGGAGTTACGGCCCAAACCATACCAACTATTCTCACCCATGGTATACAGACTTAAGGCATTTTGAAACTTGACATTTAAGAACATTCTTACTTTTTCCTACTTTTTTTTTTTCTTTCCATAAAATAACAAAAAATAAGTTAAAAATATTGAAGAACTGAACCTCGTACTTGAAGTTTCCAGACTGCTAGTTTCTAACTGGCAAGCCATAGTATGTTTTTCAGTAGTGATGTAAACCAAATACTGAAGGTGAATGGAAATAGACTGCAAAGTTTAACACCCAATCATCTTAGTTATGTAATCATTTTAATAGGGGATAGTTTTTTGACTTGAAAAATATCCCTCTTATTATAAGATTCAACAAGGCCTTCGTCTTTTTAAAGATAGCACATGTGTTTTTCTTGTTTTCTTTCTTTATTTTTCAGTAAACATAAAAGCAGAGAGCAAGATCATTCTCGATCTTCATCCTCTTCAGCATCACCTTCTTCTCCCAGTTCTCGAGAAGAAAAGGAGAGTAAGAAAGAACGAGAAGAAGAATTTAAAACTCACCATGAACTGAAAGAATACTCGGGCTTTGCGGGAGTTAGCCGACCACGAGGAACCTTTGTAAGTAATAAAGTTGTCTGATCGTTTGCTAGGACTTGCTATATATGTATGGACAGTTAAATGATGTGATTTAGACACTCTTGTTATGTGATTCATTATTCCTGCAGTTAGAATTAGCCTTGAAAAATGAAATGGTATTTGAAGTATCTTCTTCATTAAGAAATCCACTTAGGGGGAGGGAGGAAGGGACGGAGCTGGGATGGTACTTTTTTTTGTACATAGAGGTAGGGGGAAAAGTTTTTGCCTAACTAAAAAAGAATAAAAGAAATGCATTTTGAGATCTAGAAGCATCTATATAAACTAGATCCATTTCTTAACTTTGGAATCAGTTACCGTACATAGTGCTTAAATGTCCAAGAGTCAAGGGAAGTTATTGAGATCCATTTTTTAAATCACTTAGTATTGAAAGATTACGTGAAAACATTTTTAAAAATCTGCATGTTCATCTCTGTATTGTAACATTTTATTTTACCCTGTTCTCTTCAAGTCCTTGTTTATGTGTATTAATCATAGAAATCATAACTTTCTATTCTGCATAGCATACCTATTACCCTCATGTTTTAATAAGTTTGTTTTAATTATTAATGAGTTCATAATAGCTCATTTTCTTCCTAACTCTTTAATTTTTAGATTCACATTTCTAACTTGATTGAGTTCCAGTTGGTTATTCTAGAGTTCATTGATTAGATCATTTGGGAAACTGAAGAGCTTTTGCTTATATGGTGACAGGTGTAGTTGAATACTTGGCTCCTATGATAATTGAACTCTTTTGGCTAGTCAGAGGCAAAGGAACTAATTAGATTATTTTTAAAAACTAGTTCAGGCTATGAAAGTGTAGTATTCTAACACTTAGTTTTTGTGCATTTCTTCTTAACTTCACTTTCAAAAGGCAGGGTTTTTGTTTTGTTTTGTTTTGTTTTTTTGCCTGTGATATGAAATGGCCACCCTTTTCCACCCTCAGTGGCTGTAAGTTGGGATTTAGGAAGAAAATTAGGGCATACATTTTTTGTTACTGCAGTAAAATTTTAGTTTGCATGCAACTTAAATGCCTTTGATTGCATTACTAAACAACTTTGTTAATGTTAATCAGTTTCGAATTAGAGGCAGAGGAAGAGCCAGAGGAGTTTTTGCTGGGACAAATACTGGTCCAAACAACTCAAATACTACTTTTCAAAAGAGACCGAAGGAAGAGGAATGGGATCCAGAATATACCCCAAAGAGCAAGAAGTACTTCTTGGTGGGTGTTAGAAATCTGTGTTTATTTGGTTTGCATTAATTTTCAAAGCATACTGGGTGAAGATATCCACTACGATAAGGTTTCACTATAATGTGGGCAACCTTTTAAAAAACTTATTACCCAGACAATTTGAAGTTTTGAAAATGTGAGTTTCTTTAGTCCTGTCTGTACTTTACTGACATCACCTGTGGACTGATCAGGGTTATCTAAAAAATACCTGATTTGATAGCCACATTCAGTGAAGAACATTATATTTTATCTGTCTGTAAGACAGCGATACTTGCGGAACTTCTCATTAAGATTTACCTACCATCATTACAGGCAATTGTTTAAATGAAGGACAAGGAGAAGAATTCTACATGTAATGAAGGATTTCAGGGAGGCTGTTAACTTTGATTGGAATAAAAGAAGTATGAAAAATGACTTGGAGAAGTCGTTAGATAACACTAATTTGATGTTTCCTTTCTTGGAGTAGTTTTCTAAGGGATGAAACCAGAGAAGTTGGGTCCTGAATGATTCACTAGGTATCGATGGAAATCTACAGTTCAGCCTGGGGGGAAAGGGTCTGTCCTGCATTATAGATGCAGACTTAAGGAAACACTGAAACTGTTGCCAGAAGTATAGTCATATACTTCTGTACTCAGTACTTGACGGTTTCAGAACTCATCACACCCTGTACTCGTCACATTTTGTTAAGAAGAAAATGTTACAGCACTCAACAGCACTCGGTGATTTGCTTGGAACTCATCATACTTGCTAGAACTTGTATGAGTCTTTTTGCTGCCCCAGAAGAGAAAATGCTTTATAGTTTGGTACTTGTCTGTTTCGGCACTCATCACGAGTTTTGAAATAATGACAAGTACCGAGGTACCACGGTATTCATTTTTGTCATAGCTTCTCGGGAAAGTCGTGCTTCAGAGACTAGTTAAGACCTGGTCGTTTTGTTGAAGCAAGCAGGAATATAGTACTGGCTCTACAGAATTGTATCTTTGTTTCTTTTGGATTTTATGAATATATACAGGGTGGGGCAAACGTAGGTTTATAGTTGTCAATATGTAGAACAGTTTATTCTGGTATAAGTGTTTATTTTTGTATTTCCCATAGGATCAACTGTAAACCTACTTTTGCTGCTCTCTGTACTTGAATGAGCATGAATTTCCATGGCACATCTAAGTTAGAAGATAGAGCTGTATTCTGAAGTATATGGATATTTTGTTTGGAGAATGGGCATTAGACTCATTTTTGAAATTCATTCTCATTTGCCTCTTTTTTGTGTGTACTCTAACCACCAAGAGTCCAAAAAAATTAAATTTTCATACAGTGCATTATGATAATCACTCAACATATGCTCCTGAGAGGAGAAATTCGTGCTTGAATTGCTTCAGTTTACTCTGGAAGGTGAAAGGCCTTTCATTCAGTTACACTATAGAGTAGTTCAAAAGATCTGTCTTGTTTTTGATTTAAGAAATTGTGTATTAACAACCTGCTAGTTATGCTAGATATGAAGAATGGGAAGACAAATATAATTCTAATCTTTGGCTTAGAGACTAGTAATGGAGAAACAAGCATTCAAAATACGTATTGTGGATTTTCTCCAAAGAAGGAAATGGTGGGTTATTGCAAAGGGAAGAGTGATTAGGAGATACTTTGTAAAGAACCTTGGCTCAAATCTTGAGCTTAAAAGCTAGGCAGGTATACTGTAGGTAGCAGAAGTACTGAAATATCCTGATACAGAGAACTCCAGAACTCAGATGTGGCTAGATGATTGTTACAAGTTTGGGAAAATTTAGCAAAAGCAGGAGTCCAAAAGTTGTGGAAGTATGGATTTAAAACAGTTTTTAGAAGAATTGTGGTTGTGGAAACAGATACATCTGAGTGATACTGTCTGAGTAAAGGGGCTAGATTTGAGACAAGAGAATAATGTTTATGAAGACTTAACTCAGGGATCCACTGGTTGGGTGTTGGTAGTGAGAAGAAATTCTCTAAGATATAGGGGGAAGATGCATATTTGAGATTAAGTTCTGTTCTTGAAATAGAAGAAATCCGGTAGAGATATACAATGCATACATGCTAATATATAGTCTGGAGAGAGAGAAATGTAGGAGCCATGTTTTTACAGGTCATAGCTAAAGCCATTATAAGATCACTCAGAAGAGAAGGGGTTGTTAAGCCAATTTTGCAAAGATGCAGTGAGGAGTGAGTGATGGTAAAAATGCCAAAGAGTAGATCAAATGTGAAGGGTCAAAATATTAAAAGGGAAATGAGAGGTTAGATTTTTTTAAAATACTTGTAATGTTTTACAAATACTTAATTTAGGCCAGACCTTCATTTATCTCTGGCATTATTTCGTAACCTGGTATCATTTTTACCTTAAATTGGGACACAATCATTTTAGGTTGGCCTGTAATTAGATAGCAGTTTTACTAATCCAGAAGAGTGTTATTTTAAGAATTTAGTCACAAGTAGTGGTAACATTTTATATGTTGCTCTTCTGTGTTATAATTAAAATTTTTCCTTTATGTATTAAGCATACAGTGTGCATTTGTCACAGTGATGTTCACTAGAAGTAAAAATAGCATATTAATAAATATATTTATTTCTTAAAATCAATTCCCCCAAATAATGCTTTTTTTAAAATTAATGAACCAGTGAAATAACTGGTTTTGACATAGATATTTAAACCTAAAAGATTTTGCAGTAAAGATAATTGAATTCTTAGGCAGCTAGCTTTGAGAATAGAAATATAAACAAAAATATAACTCAGGAAATGAGATTGAAAATTATAATCATTCCCCTAGGTCCTTTCAGAATAATTTACCAGCCTGGAAGGTTTGTCATGTTAATGAAACAGTACTTAGTAATAATGTTGATAAGAATATGTACTATGCTGTACACCATTATAAAATCCTCTTGAGGCCATTGTTTCATTTTTAAAAATGAAAAACACTGAGGTATACAGATATTGAGTGGCTTGTCCAAAGTTAAAAGTTATATGGCTGGAAGGAGGAGGGTCAGAATTGGAACTCATGTATGGGCTCCAGAGCCTGGGTTTTGCAAGCAACATCCCTGCATAAATCTTTCCAGTACAGAGTAATATTTGTTGCACTGTTCTGAAATTTTCTGTTCCGAAACTTGGATTTATGCAGATTCTGTAATGTTTTCAACAAATAAGTATTCCAGGAGAGATAATACTCTTAGAAGCTGAACTTCTCTGGAGGGGTGAGTATATGAAGTTGGAGCAAGTGGTAGAAATATGCTGCAGTGGGCAGGTTCTTAGTGCTGAGTTGATGGTGTATTCTGAGAAAGAAAATCCCTAGTGGGAAAGGGGGTTCGAGATTGGAGTTTTAGCCCTGGCTGGTGTGGCTCAGTGGATTGAGTGCTGGCCTGCAAAAACTGAAGGGTCACTGGTTCAATTCCCAGTCAGGGCACATGCCTGAGTTGCAGGCCAGGTCCCCAGTAGGAGGCGTGTGAGAGGGAACCACACATTGACGTTTCTCTTGGTCTGTTTCTCCCCTCCACACCCCCCCCAATAAATTTAAAACATCTTTAAATTTAAAAAAAAAGGATTGGAGTTTTAATATAATTTAACACTTTGAAGCTTCATCACTCTATAGAGAAAAGATAAGGGGGATACAGAAGATCTTGGTTCTAATTATGGCCTCATTTTATAACATTTTCGACTGTATTATGTGTATCTAACTTTTCTGTCCCTTTATTATTTCTGAAGTAATTAATTTTTAGAAGTTGTAATATTAAATTGCGGGTGTTAGAACTTGAGGATTAAGTTAGTATGCTTAACATCAAAATGTCACTTAGCTGCCAGGATAACCTCCGAAGTACACAGCATAATGTTGTAGCCGTCTTTTTTAACCCAGTTTCACATATTATAAATTTGAAAGCAGTGGTTTAACTCTCATGTCTAGCTTTGCCACTGCTTTTTTTCTGTTTTCTACTTCTAGCTGCCTCATGTAATTTGTTACTGCCCCCAGGACTCCTGGGAAGTGTATTTGGTGGGTGACGTGGAGAAGAGGTGATGGGAAGGACTACTGACTGCTGTGGCCTTGGACAAGTGACTCAGTTTCTCTGTGCCTTAGGTTTTTTTTTCATTATCTAAAGGGGGGTTAGTAAACAGTATTTTGCAGGGGGTAGTGAGGATTAAATGAACAAATAAATACATGGAAAGTGCTCAGAACAGTGCCTTCCCTTGGTAAACAGCATATAAAAAGCATTACTACCGCAGTCTATCTAGTCCTTTCCTGTCACACAGTGGGCTAGGCACTTTTTACGGACCATCTAGGTTTCCTCAACGCTCTCTTTTGTAAAATGAAGAAATGGCTACACAGTTTCTGTTAAGATATAAACCTGTGCCTCTCACTAGCAAACCCACAAATTTATGGAATACTGTGTGTAAATACCACAAAGAAAACACAAACTCTGGAGTTGGTTGTGCTGATAACAAAAGGGAGCCTATATTAAATGATTGCGTGGGTATTATTTTGAGTGGCAGACTATTTTAAAATAGTTTATTTCCAGTTTACAGTTAAACTTTATGACATTGAAATTTAAACTTTTTTTTTTTAAGATTTTATTTATTTCTTTAGAGGGGAACGGAAGGAGAGAGGGAGAGAAACATCAATGTGTGGTTGCCTTTCGTGCGTCCCCTGCTGGGAACTGGCCTGCAGCGAACCCGCCTGCAACCCAGACATGTTCCCTGACTGGGAATTGAACCGCAATTGTGTGGTTCGCAGGCCCGTGCTCAATCCACTGAGCTACACCAGCCAGGGCCTGAAATTTAAACTTTTGATAGCTACTAAATTTTCTTTATGGAGTCATGCATACCTCTAGCTAGTGATGTTTCATTGGTTTGGTCAAGACAGATTATTAGAAATTGGTAAGTGTTCTTTTACATGTGTAACTGCTTTTTAAGTCATGCAAGCAGGAGAGTGATCTGTATTACATGAGTATGCACAAAGGCATGTACTGTTTTGGAGAAGGTGCTCATGTAATATTTGAAAAGAGTTTTAACAACTTTTGGGCAGTTGACCAATACTAGTTAGTACTCCATAGGTTATGCAACATAGTTTGCATTTATTCCTGTTTCATACAGGGACATCATTTGGCCTTAGTTCCTATTTGTGTAAGTGGGAAGCAGCAGTTAATGAATTATATTACAGGAGAACTTTGGGTTTTTGTTTTATTTTCAGGTATAATGCTCATCTGCTTGTCCACAAAGTCAAGTACTTTTTGATTTTGTAGATTGTTTTGATTAATATAATTTGTAATTTGAGAAACATCTTAATTTGGATATAGTTAAAGAAAAATTATGGTTGGAATGTAATAGCTACAGTACTTCAGATTGGTGAAGAAAGAAATAAGTTGAGATACTTCTCTAGGGACCATGCCATCATGAATTGGGATGAGAGATTACCTAGCCCAGAAGATTGATGTGTAATATACATTGATTGAGATTTGTATCTCAGGATTTTAAAATCTCTTTCTACATATAAATTAACATTCATGCCACCTGTTTTATTTAATGCTAATTATGTTGTGATGTTTTTATGACTTACAACATCTCTATGACTGAGGTAAATTTTTTTGTAAAAACATTGGTTATTTTATCACATTTATGTGCAGTATAATTTGTAACAAGTGAGCCTAGGTTGAAATAATAATGGAAAGGAAAAAAGTAAAAAATGTGATAATCGGTGGTAATTTAGCAGTTGAGATTCTCCAAAAAATTATCTCAGCAGCTCTTCATGCTTGGGTTACTAAGCAGTAAAATGTAATTATTTGCTTTGACAATTTGTTTTTGAAAAGTTGAGTTTTACTGGTTTGTTTTATTGTGTTTTAGGACAATAAGTTTCATGTACCAAGGCATCAGAAAGTTAATACCATGACTTACTGGTTTGGGGGTATAGTCATTTTTCTTCAAGAAAGACATTTCAGTGACAATCGTTTTTAACCTTTCTGTAGCATGACGACAGAGATGATGGTGTGGATTATTGGGCCAAAAGAGGAAGAGGTCGTGGTACTTTTCAACGTGGCAGAGGGCGCTTTAACTTCAAAAAATCAGGTAGCAGTCCAAAATGGACTCATGACAAATACCAAGGGGACGGGATTGTTGAAGATGAAGAAGAGACCATGGAAAATAATGAAGAAAAGAAGGACAGGCGCAAGGAAGAAAAGGTAGAAATTTTCAAGTCGTTAGAGATTCTAACTTTTGGGGGGGTTGGAGAGCCAGTCAATTAATTATTTAATTTTTAGGAACAGTGATTATTATGAATCATTTTCATACTCTCCACCTTTGCTAATCTTTATCTTCTCTCTCTTTTTAGGAATAGTAAATCTGAAGTGAGATTGCAACAGAGAGCAGAACTTGCACCCATTGTTTTTTTTTTTTTTTACCTGATTTTTGTTTTCAAATAAAGAATGTAAGCATTTTACTTAAATTTTACTGTTTGCAAGTAGTCTATAGAAACTTTGTTTTAAGTCTTCAAAGATCTTGGAAAAATAGTAGATTGTATGTTGAAAATTGTACTGAAATAAAGTAGAAAATTGTTACGTACCCTATTTGTAACTATCAACTTTTAAGAATACTTTTACTGTTTTTGTTACATGCATTGTAATTCTGCTTTGTCTATAAGATATGGTCAAGTACAACTCTGTGAAAGTTCTGATTCTCTTCCCTCCCTGTTAATGTTTATGCTAAAGTAAACGTTAGCTCTACATACAAATTGCTGGACAGAAGTTGTTTATAGAGACTGCACTAATTATTTTAACTGTAACCATCTGTTTTAACATTTTCCTTAATTCAAACACACTACATTGTAGGGTGACTAATTTTTGAAGTGTACCACTGAAAACGTTGTTACTTTGGTAAACTAAGCTAGTTTAACCCTTCAGGAAATGTTTAAGAATACAAGCTAATAAGATTGCAAAATATGAGGATTTTCTTTCTTTTTTTTTTAACTAACACAAGCAGGGGTGGCCTATAAAAATCACTCTTAGGAGCCTTTACTATTTGGATTCGAAATTCATTATTCTCTTTCTATTTTTATTTAAAAGTTTGAGTCATGGTCTTAGATAGCAGCTATTCTTTGAGAGAGGAAACTGGTTTGTAATAATACTACAAATAAAAACTCCATTCCTACCAAATACTTTATTTTTGAAAAACAAAATACAACAAAACCTGTTGTTCATGCTAGTATGGAAGAGGATTATCCTGCAGAATAACTTGATACATTAAAAAGATATACCAGATTTTATATCTTACATATTTATTTAAGCTTTTGGACAGCTGAAATACGAGTTTGTTGTCTAACCATAAGAAAAAATAGGCGAACAACATATTGTTCATTAGTAGTATTTTACATAACTTGTTTTTCAAATGTCAACAATAATAAAAAGTTTCAACAGGAAGTTTGTTGCAGAATTGATATACCTTGGTTTTTACTTTTTTTTAAATTTCAATTGCATTTGTAAAATGGCCTTTTCTTTTTTTTTTCTTCCCTAGTGTTCTATTTTTTAGTTAGATAATCTTGAAAATGGCAGTTACCTTTATGCTTATGCTGATTCCTCTTTAAAGGAATGAAAATCCGAAATAGTAAATCTCAATGTTAAGTATGCCTGCTTTATGAGCATATACAAAAGTAATCAAATTTTATTCAGCAATTAAGTTGTACATGTTTGCATTAAAAGGAGATAATGCTTATTCTGCTAGTGTAATCTTTTCAAGATCTTAAGTGTATGGCCCTTCATTGTCTTCTGATGATTTGCAATCTTTCTAGCACCTTAATTGCGGGGGGGAGGGGCGGCGGGGGGAGGTTTGAATTTGCTAAGAGCTATTTGGGGGAGGGATAGGATGAAAACTAAGCCAATATGTGATGATTTCCTAAGATCTTTAGTATTGCATGATTTCTCCTGTTAATTTGGCCTTTCTGAAATTGTTAGAGCAGAGGAAATACTGTCAAAGCAAATATGTGTGTCGGATTGATCAGGACATCACTAATATTCTTCCAGTTAGATTAATTACACACTAAAGCTACATGCATTTGATCTCCAGTACAGGAGAATTTTCACAACCATTTTACTTTATACAAATAAATTTAGCTTTTTAAGTTATTTTGTTAATTACCAAATCTGTATGCATGACTATGAAGTGTGGCTGTTCTTTTCAACTTAATAGGAAAAAAGGAATTTCCTGAGAAATTATTTAATGGGGAGTGGGAATAAAGGTACCTAAGTCCTACTAACAGGTTTTATTTCCATTGCAATACATTGCTTTAACATAGTCTATGTAGGACACGGTAACTTTATTCTTTAAACAGAATTGAAGAAAGAACATAACTACCAGAATATTATAGGAAGGATGATAGCGGATGTTATCTTTTTCAGAACCAGGCATATAAGAAGTAGTCCACGTATTTTTTTTAACCACAATTTAATTTTATATTTCGTGACATACTGTAAAAATCTAATGGTTTCTCTTGTAAAGATAACTTGTTTACAAGTGCCAGAAAATAATAACTCTTGATGGCTGCATTAACAGATTTCCTTTTGCCTAGAGAAGGAAAATGAAAGTGAACCAAAGGGTATTTCCAAAGCAGATAGCTGTTTAAGAAGGCCATGACTCAGTCTTTAGGTGTGTATACCTTTCAACATCTTAGAATTTTAATATAAAAAGCAAAATATGTTTTTCCAGTTTCAGCCAAATTTAGGGAATTACTATTCCTTTTGTCACAGTTAAAATGAAGTGTTGGGGATTAAATAATTTGAGACAAAAATATTACCCAGTAATAATGAATGTAGATGGCTCAACAATTCTTAGTGTGATGTATAATGCAACAGGGACCCTTGTAAATTGTCATATGCCAATAAAAATGTCGTAAGTGGTCATAGCTGTTTGTTTACCTGATTTTGAGATTATACCTGTGTCTGCTCTATACAACTGATTTTTTACGGCCAGTTTCTAGATTTTAGAATACCAGTCCCTCTGGTAGGAAAATTGCTGGTATGGTTTGACCTTTTTGGGGATGGGGGTAATAAGTACTTTATAAAACTCCTCAAACCCCAGTATACTGTTTTCTTCTTTTCCTTGGGAAAACAGGAAATTGTACAGGGGATTATTCCAAGCCATTATTAGAGAATGCAGGAATTCTGGATTTCTAGTCTAGCCTTCGTACTCCTGTATTAATACAGGAACTTACATTATGATGGAGAATTAGCATTACTACTCTTTCCAAAAGCATATTAGTCAATAATTACAAAGCTTTTTAAAAGTTAGTCCTTGTTCACTTTGAGTAAGATTTGGTATAATTCACACCAAGCCCCTCTTACAAGTTACTTGAAATGAAAATGGCCCATTCTGTCAACTTTAAACATTTTCACAGAAGTTTGTGTGCTAAGACAAATAGATTTTGTGTGATACAGATGGCAAATTACCCTTTTAAAACGTTTTAGGAAAGTAAGAACTCTGTAGGTATGTTTAATTTCACTGGGTAATTTTATCCTCATCTGAGGGTATGCTTAGTGACTTCACAGAGAGGGGAAGGGAGGGACTTGCACCAACCAGGGACTCAACCTGCAGTTTAGGCACATATCCTGTCTGGGTATCAAACCCATGACTCTTAGGTCTACATGACAATGCTCCAACCAATCACCACAGTGACAAGGGTGAATTTTGCTGGGTAACTTCAATGTAAAAGTATGCAATTTTATTAGGCAGGTGAAATTAACTTGATTGTCATAGGATTGTGTATAGTCTTTAGTAAATACTGATATATCCCTTAACAAAATTTTAATCTGTTGTATACATCTAGGGTTTTCAAATATTTTAAATATGAATGTCAGGGGTCTAATTGCTTATTGAGATACATACTAAAATTTAGAAATCTTACATTAACAAAGTTTGAAGTGAACAAGGTTTGTTATTACTGTTTCTTAGAATCCAGAAATACATAGAAATTAGTTGTATTCCATTCTGTGGCTTGAGGACCTTGGCGATTGTGTTGATTTATGAGCCGACTCCCTATTTTTCTTATCATCTGTACATAGGATTTTTCCTGAAGCTATTTTAGGTGTTTACAACAGTGGGCTGGTTTACAGCACTCTTAAAATGCAGAAGATAATTTTAATTCTTGCAAATAGAAAAGGGTTGGTTGGGCAAGTGGTGGGTTTTAATGCTCTTCCCTTAAGAATTGCTCCCTGGCTGTTGTAGCTCAGTGGATTGAGCTCAGGCCTGCAAACCAAAGGATGGTGGTTCAATTCCCAGTCAGGGCACATGCCTGGGTTGCAGGCCAGTTCCTAGCAGGGGACACATGAGAGGCAACCGTACATTGACATTTCCTCTCTTCCCTTCCCCTCTAAAGATAAATAAAATCATTAAAAAATTAATTTAATTTAAAAAAAGGGAATTGGAATGGTTTTTCCTAGTCTCTTGGCTTTGCCCAGCTTCCTAAGTCCATTATAATGAGGCCTTCCCTTTAATAAAAGCAGGTAATAGTATATTATACAGTTAGATGAATATTCACCTACGTGTGGGTTTATGCATCCACAGCATGAACAATTTGGCAATAACTTTTTGGTATTGGAAATACCATGGAATGTAAAGAGCCACAGAAAAAATACCATTCTCACTCACCGGGACAATGGTTTACTTGGTAAATTAGCTAGTCCTTGAGTATGGAGGGTCATAACTTTTGTCTTTATTTGTACTAGAAGGGGAAAACTATATTAACTTCCAGGATGACTCTAAGACTGCCATGAGGGAATGTTAAATACATTTTGAATTTTTTGAAAGTTGAATATCATCACTAAGATACATAAAGTACAGAATTTATCTGTTTAATATCAATATAAAGTTACACAAAAATTTGGTGGTGATACTCAACTTACTACAAAGGGTTTCCTCCTTTTCATCCCCCACATCATTCCAGTTGCTGCAGTGGCCTTGTAACTTGGACTTTTTGACCCTTAAATTTCAGTCTTTAATTGCATTCTGTGGGTTTTTCAACTATAAAATTATTATTTTAAGCTAAAAACCATTTGATGTCATCCTACTGTGTAAACCTTAGTTAAAATTAACTGAAGGAATTCCCTATGAGTTGCATTTTGCTTTGCCTTATCCCACCCATTGTCCACTTATCTACCATAATATCTGGTATCCTAGCAAAAAATTACAACTCTTGTCATTAAATGCAGCATATTATTTTAGGCTAGGAACTCATTGTTTCACCTTGTCTGCCAGAATAAATGTTTAGCACTTAGCATTGTGTATGGTGTACATAGCATATGTGTGTAATAAGTGCTCTTTAAGTGTGTAAGTGAAAGCTGATGACTGCATATAGAGATTTGGCAAGTATAAGCCAATTTATTTTATGGCTGCTGCTGAAACCTAGTTCGGTTGAAGATGCCTTAAATGTGTGCTGAACAGAGGAGCGTTCAGATTGTAATAAACAGAGGAGTTAGCATAGTTAATCTTTCTATACATTGCTCACAATCTAAGCTGCCTTTAAAATGTACTAAACAGCCCTGGCTGGTGTGGCTCAGTGGATTGAGTGCCAGCCTGTGAACCAAAGGGTCACTACTTTGATTCCCAGTCAGGGCACATGCCTGGGTTTCGGACCAGGTCCCCAGTTAGGGGTGCGTGAGTCGCAACCAGACATTGATGTTTCCCTCTCTCCCTTGCCCTCTCTAAAATGAAACAAATAAAATCTCTAAAAAAGTGTGCTGAACAGAAGAGAGTTTAGATTGAAAGGAACCAGAAGAGTTAGATTGTTAACCTTTTTATACATTGCTCAAGTCGTCACCTTGCGTGTGTGTTGGAGTACCATGTTTTGTTTTTCAACATAAAATGTGTGTTCAGTTTAGTATGCATTTGTAATTCTAGAGCCAAATTCTGCATATCAACTACCCAGGTCAAGAAATTGAGCATTCTGGAAGCCCATGTGTGTTGTACCAGCTTTTTTTTCCCCCCCAGAATAAGACTTATTTTAAATTTTTCATCTCGTTGTTTATGCTATTAACAGTTGTCCCCACTTTGTCCCCTTTTGTGCATCTTCACCCAGCTCCACCTCACCCTCAGAGCACCATGTTTTTAAGAGAAAATGAAAATGAAGGAAGGGAACCTGGAGCTGGAGGGGTGAAATAATATCAAATAAGGTGTGTTTACTATATAAAAATGATGACTCAGATGGGTCCTTGATAGTCTTCGAGGTAAAGGGCTTTTTCTTTCACAGAGGAGAGAGAAACTCAAGTCACAGGGCCAAGGAAGAGCCTTTAATAACACTGACTAACATCATTTTAACATCTGCCATATTTATAGGACAGAACCGGAGCCATAGAAATAGGTACACAGACTTTATAACTCAATGAGTTAATACTAGACTCCTAGGTATTTGACAAGTTTCCTGATTACAGAAGTATGGAAAATCTAAATAGCTCCCTGTTAGGAATGCTGCACTACTTGGAGCTTAACATTCTGCTAGTTCTCTGCATTACATGTTAGGCACAATTAAGAGCTACAGTTCAACGTGTGTGACTTACTAAATTGGATGTTACCAACTGAGATTGTCAGTGATAATTTTAAAAACTTTCTATCACAACATTGGGAAAACGTAGCAGTAATGCAGCATTTCTTTAAAGTCTTATGCCGTGTCCCTTGTAAGAAATTAAAATGGATTTTTTTATGAAGTGGAATTTTTGAATTTTTCTTAAGAAAGTACGAGTTGTTGCTAAAAATGAAAAGGATTACATGGAAACATCAGGAATACTGATGAACCGTTTGGATAATCCAGAGGACGGGCAGGCCATCCTTTAACTATTTTTCTTGTCTGTGTTCTAGGTTCCAACCAGTTCTTTAAGTGATTAAGAGTCAAGGCAGTCCTTGTGAATATAAGATTGTATAAAAACAGATGACAGAATCTATGAAGTCACACATTAAAAAGTAAGGGGGAACAGAAAAAAAGTTATCTTTTTTGCTTTTAGTGAGGTCTAGATATAATTTTTTTGTTCAAAAATAGTGAGTATCCCTGACCAGTGTGTCTCGGTTAAGCATGCAAAGCAAAAGATTGCCAGTTCAATTTCCAGTCAGGACACATGCCTGGGTTGCAGGTTTGGTCCCTGGTCAGGACACGTGCTAGAGGCAGCTAATCAGTGTTTCTCCCACTTTCTCATCACTTCTGTAAAAATAAATAAAATCTGAAAAAAATGTAACAAGTAGTTGTGATAAACACATAAGACCTTTGGATTCAAACACTAAGCATAACTTAGGCTTATTTTTATAGAAATAATTTAAAGGTTCAAATTAAAATTTCTGCTTTAAGACTACATTTAACTTATATTTTGTAATTTTCATATTACTATAAATAAATAGCAATTTATTAGGTTGGCCAAAAAGTTCGTTTAGTTTTGTCCGTAAAAGACATGTTTTTCATTTTCACCAATAACTATTGATCTGAATATTTTGAGTATGTTGGCTGTCTCCTGTGTGGTATAATGTTGATTGTTCTCAATGAATATTGATTTGATCACTGTCAACTTCAGCTGCTCTACCCGACAGTGGAGCATCGTCCAGTGAGAGAGCTCCAGCATGAAACTTTGCAACCACTTTTGATGCATTTGATCAGTTACAGCACCTTCTCCATACACTGCCCAAATCTTCCTTTGCATCTCATTATGTTTCTAACCTTTCTTGAAAGAATAAAGCATAATATGTGTATTTTTTTCATTAAAATGTGTATTTTTTTCATCTTAATACTAAAATGACACACAAAAATTGCAATACCAGTTTTGATGAGTTTTTCTTAAAATTGTATGCTGATATGACAGCTGTCACAATAAAATCCATCAAAATTGTTTCAAATGAAGTTAAAGACAACCAAGCACTACTGGAGCCATC